ATATTTGAGATCGTTACTAATCACAATGGCCAATACCACAGGACCCTGGGATTCATGATTATTTCATTAGGTTCCGAAGATCGTACTTTCAAAGCTCTAGAAATGAAATCCTATAGAGAATTCAATTCACTATAAACATAATACTTCGGGGTGTTGCATACTGATGCATTAAGCTTTAATTAACTCACATGATGCCATTTCAGGAGACTGACAAATAAATATCGTTTTGTTTTTCTCCAATTACCGAAGAAACTGTTGCAGTTAAGGACAAACATGACAATGATTAATATGCCCATTGAATATTAAATATTTAGTAGAGTTTTGTATTGATCTTTCGGGGCGGAATGAATTACACTCTTGGTATATTGGCTCAATTCTAATTCTAATTGCATTCCTTAATTAAATTGTTTCCGCTATTATGCCTTCTGCTTACAAATCTTAGTACATTTAGAAACAGAGAGATTTCATTATCACCCAAGTATCACTTCATTATCATTACCATTCAACTATTATGACCATTCGACTGTCACTTTTAATTGATGCAAGGTTTGGAATGGAAATCACCGCAGTATTTGTACCAAAAACGATTAAATCTCAACATTGGATGACTTCGGCATAATTTGACAATGATTACAGTTTGCTTCTGTTAGTATAAAAGATACCAACTCGAAGTCCGTGCTCCAGAAACAACTTTCCTCGGAAGAGAATGACCACAAATCGTAGGGAATAATTACTCCGTTCATTGAAATTTCTTTTATTTCAACGGGGTAAAAAGCGGTACTTGCTGAAATCATATAATTAGAACTATTTGTTTGTTTAATAATGGTTCATTGCAATTTTTCAATTAATTGCAGTAAGTTTATGATGCAAAAATCCATTAAAATTTTCTAACCAACTATGGATTTCCCGCCTATTTCTAGATGATCTTTGTGAGACGCGAACATCATTGCTGAATAACCGGAACTTGTATTGATTGATTTTTCTTCACCAAACAAAATAGCTTGACCTGGTGTCCAATGATGCATCGTGAAGGGTAATCGCTCCTAAAGTTTGAATTTGCATCATTACGTCATCAAATCTTCGTCTCTCATAAGTTCTTTCTGATTTTTAGCAAATTATTATTCCTGACGGAAACAAAGAATGAAACATGCCCGAAAATCGGTGAAATTCATCTTAGATACGAGTTCCAAAGCCTTCTTCAAATATGGCGGTGTTATTTTATTGTCCCGGTAATATAATATTCTATTTCGATGGTTCAACTCATAGTTTGCACATTCAGACATCTCGGGGATTTTGCTGTAAGGTGATATGAAAGAATAATCCATTATTATTATTACCAATCAATTCATTATAACTAATTAACTCATTTGAATTTCCCTTATCTCCTACAGTTATTAGTAATTGAAATCATCAAATTTGGCGGATATGATTTTTCCACCTTAGGGACTAAATGTAATGTGATAATATATAAGTGAAAGAAGAGTGCTCACGCCATATTTTTTAAATCACCGGTAGGTAGGTAACCAGCAATTTGATTTCCCACTTCTCCAAAAACATGGTTTACTTTATCGTTGGGACAGCGACATTTAATTTCAATCTTTCTTTTTTTAGGAGCACTGGGTCCTTCCTCATCTGTTCCTCCTGAAATTTCAATTAATTCATCACTAAATTTCCTGTTCTTTACATATTTGAACAGGAAGTATAAATTCATTCAAATTTCCTAATATGCACAGTGTACTACTTCAAAATAGTTCAGTTAAATTTTAAATTTTGAAAATTCAAAAAGTGTACCTGTCGCTGATGCAATGTTGGATGATATTACGACGAACGTAAGGACAGCAAAATATTCGAAGTGCATTGCTATCAGTAGCTGTAAATTAAAAATTTACTCAGTGATTCGAATAGTCTCACGAATTTGTCAAATTTTTTCACCATCATAAATGGATTTCGAATTCTTAGAAGTTTGAGAGAATGGATCCATCATTTTGGATGTGTAGTAAATCTGTTTGTTAAAGGATGCAATCTTTCCCGAGTAATTAATAAAATAAATTTCTTCACTTTATTGTATGTTCCTTTTGATGAGTAACGACGGTAAATGATTAGTAAAGATTTAGACCCAAATTCAGTTGCTTCAGTGATGGATAGACTCTTTTAGCTACTATGACTAATCAAGATTATGAAATGAGTAGAAGAAATTGTAGAAACGAATTTGGTGAGGAGAAAAGCAGTTTGTGATTTTGTAGTAAAAATATCGAATCAATCAAAGGTCAGAAATTTTCAGGAAAAATCGAAATTAATCTTTTTCTATTTTGCACTGAATAGTAATACATTGTAAAACAGAAGGCATTTCATATAGCTTATGCAAAAAAGTGAATAATACTGCCGCAAATATAATACTGTTTTTCTGTAATAATACTGTTTTTCTACAGAAATTGGGATTAACAGAATATTTTGTTTCACTGGAAGCCTTCCATTGAATTAAATAAATTTGCATTTGTGTCAGAAATAGAAACATAAACAAATTGGACTATCGGTTCTTATTATTTTCCATCCAGGGAAAGTTACATTTAAGGAGAGATGCTTTCTCCCAAAAAAAAGTTTCGGACGTCTGCTGCTTAAGTATTACATCCTGCATCATTTCAGCCGTTTCATTTGGGATTCTCATAAAATATTATTAGATGGCAGAAGTAATTTCAGTGGTACTTCCATCAGCCGATGTTATTTTTGCGGTCGAAACATCGAGAGTTACTTTGTTATTCTACTGCTTTGGCGGGAAGGAATACAGAAAAGTACAAAACACATTTTCCTATTGTTATGGGTTGATAAGTTTAGAAGATAGTAATAACCATTCCAAATCTCAAAGATCTCTCCTTGTTCAATTACTGTTATCAGATTAGCCGTAGCATAAATTTCAGTTGCAGAGGTTATCACCGATTATAAAGCTGATGAGTTCAGGGAAGATGGCCGATTAATGTCGACAATAAAAGTAGAAGGGTGTATGTTCATTTTCTACAGAACTAATCTTTTCGAGAACATTCATTTTATAATTCTTTTAAGTTTTATTTGCCGGTATCACTCGGTTCTGGAAGTAATTTGCATAATTATTTCTACACAATGACTGCAGCAATACTGATGGATTGTGGCACAGTGAAGATGGAAGATTGTTTATTTTTGATGAGAAATCGTTTCTATTTGCGGGAAGCTCTCTTGATTTAATAAAGTGAAGTCAAGAGAATTGTAAGTGTCCAAGTGATAAAGGATGATGATCACAATTCATTGGTTTGTATGGACCAAAGCCATAACATCAGAGAATGTAGAATTGCGATACCAAAATTATGTCAAATTAGAAATGTGATTCACGTTTTCTTTTTTTTTATTAGGTTTTGTGAATATTTTTGCCGATTTTCTACAACAAAATATTATCAGATTTATCCGTAACACTAAAAAATCTTTCACGATAACAAAATTCGGATCCGATTGAAAAAAAATCACTACCATCTCGAGATGCAATTGTTCTTACAAATTCTCGCTTTCATTCTTCGATCTGCTGCTGCTAAATCAATGATCTTTTAACATAGGGATGGAAATATGCCGAATATGGGAGCCATATTAAGAATAATCAGTGATAAATGCTTAATGACATTTATAAAACATGGAAAGGTGAAATGGAAAAGCTAATAAGTGGTGAAAGTTTGAAAAACTTAACATTTTATTAACAGATTTTCATTTCTTTTTACGGTCAATAGACTTTTTTGTGGATAAAGCGGTTATGTTTCCGCTCCTTATAATTATATGTTTAC